GGCAATAGGAACAAAAAAATCAATGCTATAAGAATGTATTATTTATAAGGTGTCTGGATTTCTTTTGAAACTCCATCTGATGAAGATAAAGAGAAGAAATGAGAGAAAACCAGGACATGCTAAGGCGAATAGGGAGCAAAGGGAAGGGTGAGGGGGAGGGAGGGCAAAAATACTGCAGAAAATCGCGCCAACCTTCATTTGAAGAAGCACTCAATTTAGGAGTACATCTGCTGTACTAAACCGCTGGAATGTCCCGATGGAATGCAACCATTGCGTGAACATGGTAAGAATACTGATCAAATACTTTTGTTGTTGAAATTCTATTTTCTTTGTTAGAATAAGCGAACGTCCACGGGTAATCAGTAAAATTCATCTTATTTTATTGAGATTAGCACATTATTTGCTGTTGTCAGCAACGGCAAATTTGAAAACCGCTCCCGCTTCGGATTAAATTGCGGTTTAGAAAAAATTAAGATAGTAATGGAATAAATCAAGCTTTCTCCATCTTTCGAAATTCAGTCCAAAATTATCACAAAAATTCAAATAACTACAATCATGGCCTTGTATTCGAAAATATTTTCTGTTTCCCTCTCCGAAAATGCTTTCTCGGATGCCACTGGCAAGGAACATATGTACTTCCATTATGAATTTCCTTTTTAACGACACCCTGCTTCTATCACTACTGAAAGAATTTTTAAAAATCATACATTGCATGTCAGCCAAATTTACATCATTTTGATCTGCTTTCAGTGCGATTGTGACCTAATTTGGATTTTCCCTCCGCCCATCAATTTACCATTTCTTTTCGCTAAAATTCCAACCTTTTGGCTACTAATCTGTTAGAAGATTTTGTTGGGAAGTTTAGTTGCACTTTTTAGGTGGTCGTCCTCGCACCTGCACAATTGGAGTTGATGGAAATTGTCCAAGCGATCATGCATGTGTGCTTGGAGCTGGTAGGTGTAGCAAGACGGAGAACCATTGGCGAACTTTGCTATACAGGAAAGATGCCAAACGGGGAGGACCGCCATTTGTGTTGTAAACCCCAGAAAAAGTGCATAGTTCCATTTGTTGATTTGGACGAAAAACGACCCAAGAGATGCTTTCCAGGTGAATATAGTAATTTTTGAAAAAACCTTCAGCATTGAAATACTTCAAGGAGATCTATCTTGTCCATCGGCCACAGCTTGCCTTCCCGTCATCGAAGAGGATGATAACATCACATCAGTCTCGGACGCAATCTTCTTCTGCTGCCACAAAGTCGAAGTTTTCACATGCAGCGATTCGAAAATGCCTCTACTAGACGTGACCAACACGAAGCCCTTGCGGTGAGGTCTTCGATTTCTGAAAAAAATATTTAGCCGTTTTTATCACCCTAAACTTTAGAAAGCAGTTCATACTTGTACTATGTAT